CGAGCAAAACGGAAGAAGAAGAGAGAAAGACGAACAGATAGAAAAAGATAGATAGAAAGAAAAACAGAGATAAAGGACCGTGCAGTCTCGTAGGTATCCTGATGGACGATTCCGTTGCGTATTACCTCGGTGATAGTTTCGTTGTCTTCCTAACATACAAATCCATTAATTTGCCTGATTATAATTTCTTTCCCCGTTTGATAAGAAAGGTGCATTGTTAAGAGCAAGGTTTACTGCAATGAACTCAAACATGCCGTGAGATGGGTCTTTCGTGAAGTTTGAGTAATTTCGTGAATAATTGCAACATACAGTGGCGTGGTGATGATGGTGATGATGAGAGTCATGATGATGACGATGATGATGTAGATGATGATTATGATGAGAATAATGATGAAGATACTACATCGCCGACGTCTGTTGGTTTAAAAGTAACAATAACATTGATATAAACATGTATACTCGATAATTAATTTTAATGAAAAATGAATAGATTATGAAAATTACACACAAATGTAGACGATGTAGTTGTCATGATATACCTACCTGTCCAATGCATATGTCTGCATATTTGAGCTCATTGCTGTATCGAGTGTATTAGCTGATTAATTCCAACAGAGACTTTTGCGAAATTATTCAATTTAAATGGATTTAATAACGAAAGAATTGCACAACATATTATATAGCAAATTTTACATTAAAGACAATTTTTTTTAGTGATAGAAAAGTGCGTCTTGAAAAATTGCACATTCAAAATTACTTTGATTGCATTAAATAAATACTGTGCTTGTCCTTGCTCATCCGAGATAACACGAAAGGTGAAGATACTAGATGTTCTAGAATTGCTTTCTTTATTTACAGATTCTTTAATTAACTTGCTATCAATACTTTTTTTAAGTATCAAAAGCGCGTTATCTTTGATGCGATGTTATTATATTCTAAATTTTAAGATTATGTCGAAACAAAAGTTTATTTTATAAACTTACTAGATAAAATTTTTTTATCTTTTATCCAATTATCCAATTCACGTTAATATTATTTTTTCTTTTGAGTATTACAAATTTTTATTGAATATTTAAAAGAATCTGTATCTAAAAAATAGCAAGTATTTTTTTGAACTATCTAGTATTATAAAGTATAATAGCGGACGAATAATAATAAATAAATATTAAAGTTTACTATTACAGTTTAGAATTATACGAGAATTAAAATATTTGTGTATATCATAAAGAAAGATATAATAAACATAGATACAGATATCTCAAAAAAATTAAGTTGAACAATGAAGTTTAAATTTTTAAAATTTAATTTTTAATATTTTAATGTAAAATTTTTTGACATTCTATTCGTCCGCTGGTTTTAGGAAATATCGATACCGCATTTGTGTTAAAAGCGTTCATGTTAGGCACTTGAAAACTAATTCTACAATCCTTTATTCCCAAGTAAATATTTGTTTGTGTATAATCGGGATCTTGCTATCTCATAAGATTTCTAGTAATAAGAATTACTGGCTCTCTTCCTGGAACATTAAAAGTAATTATTGAAGCTGTTCCAGTAAAACGAGACCAGATTTCTGTATCCAATATCCAATATTCAACGGACGTTAGTCAAATGTACACGCGTGAAATGTACATTTCAATTATGATTCTATTAAATTTAATTAATATTATATTAAAACAGCTGTTATTACATAAAATATGGTTATAAGCAGTGTTATTAACGTAACAAACAAAAATATATTACATAATTTCAACAAAGCAGATCGCATTTAATATTTAATTGAATCAAATTGATGATATAAATTATTTTATTACGTAAATTTTTAATTTTTAATTGTTACATAATTTATTGTAGTTAAAAATTAATTTAGTCGAGTTTTTTTTTTAATTAATCACATGTAAGTGTTAATTTTTATTTTAACACAAAATAAGATCAATTTTAAAGTTCTCAAATTTTTTGAAAATTTGGAAAGATAAAATTCTTTTGAATTTGACATATAAAAAAAAATTTAACGTAGAGATAGATATTTATATTAATATTTATGAGACATCCGTTGGATATTCAGGACAAATCGACAGATCACTGGTGGTGCAGTATCGGCTTTGCAAAGACATCCTTCACCTACGGATACATACGAGACCAGGATGAAAGAGCGAAAATAGACAGCCCGATAGCACGTGTGTACATAAAAAATACATCGCGCGTGATATAAAGTTTTAAACAGAAATATTCGATTAGATATAGAAAGATTTTGTAGAAATTGAGCGACGAAGAAGAAAAAGAGAATAGAGCTTAATAGATAGATAGAAAGAGAGATAGAGCAAAAGAGAGAAAGAAAGAGAGAGAGAGAGAGAAAGAGAGTGACGTCTCCGAGTGACAACAATACAACAACAGAGGCGAAAAATCATTGAAACGATATAATGTTGAATAATCGAACGGAAAGGCGCTTTAGTATTAGCAACGAATATTATATTTTTCTTTTGCGCTGGTATAACAATAGTTACATCATGATGTATCTCGATGCAAGGTGTGAAACACAAGAATATAGATCCTACTTACTGGAAAACAGCCCTTTTTTTTTGTCATCATCAAATCCGAAGAAAGTAAATGGTGCAATGAACACAAACATAAACAATAAGAAGTTCAAATTAGTTTCTTTACGAAATCAACCAATGCAGGCATTTTCATGCAAGCGAGAATGCGATAAAGAGGCATCGGGAGACGGAGGGAAGAGAGAGGGAAGACACAGAGAGAGACTGATGATCGAGGATGGACCGGCGGAAAGGTTGGGGGGTGGGCAGAGGGTTTGAGAAAAAAAAATTATGACGACCCCTCGTCTGATTCGTTCTCGTTTTAACGACACTCAAAAACCGATGGACGTTATTTTTGATCGTCGTGATAGTTAATCCGCACGTTTTCGGCTTTCCTTTCATTCCGTGATTACTTCCGTTCACTTTCATTCGCATTCTTCCCGTTTCGTCACGACAGTGGTATGCCGCCCCAATCACAGAAGAAAAAATGTCACACCACGGACAGTTCTCTTATGATCTATACATATGTATATACACATATCGATACATTGGTAAACGCTCTCAATCAAAAATACTTTTCGTGCTCTTTTCCTTTTCTTTGTCAGTCACGTCGTGGTACACCGGGAGAGTGGGATGAAAATCGGGAAACGTCAGAGAGAAAGTATATTAGAGAAAAAGAAGAGAAGTAGTATAGAAGATAAAGAAAAATATAAAATTAGAAGAAATAAGAACGCAAGCTTTGTTCAACATACAAATTAATTAAAATATAGATAGAGAAACTTAGATGGAGAAGTAATTAACACAGCAAACTTAAATTGAACATGCGTATTCAAAGAAAAAGTAATTATTAATGATATGACGATAAAATACAACAAAATGCAACATACAAAAAATATTTTTGTACTTAGAAAAAGAACGAAAGATTCAGAAATCAGAGATAGACGTAGGTAGAGAAAAAGATAACGAGATAAAGATAGGGCGAGGACGGATGTAGGAGCGAGAGCGAGATCCGTTCCTGTAAAGGAATCAAAAACACATTCATATAAAATATGCAAGCATTGTCAAAAATTGTTTATGTCTGATGCACCACAAAATGCGTAGAGGTTGAAGTACACCGTACGTGGGGCTCAAAAAATGTTGTTCCCACCTGCTCCTGGAAGTTCAAAAACATCACTTCCCTTTTGAAAAACATTCACAATTAATAATGTTAGTTGAATAATTAAAGATCATTAGTTTCCTCCGAATGTTTTTATCTCTTTTTGTCATATCTCTTATTATCATCGTTTTGCATCTTTCCTTTCCATTTTTTTCCCGTTTCTTCACAACGCGTAACACGTACAAAAATCACACACATCCTTTTCTTGGCTACTTTTGGGAAAAGTATGAAAAGTGCACACGTTCGCGTTCGGTCGGCCATGCACGTACGGGCCGATCAGCGCGCGTCTTTTTTTATTTCTGCAAAATCAGACGCGTCGGCATTTTTGCAAATCGACAAATTTATCGAAAATCATGATTGGCATTGCGGCACAAAACCGGAAAAACGCGGCTAAACGAACGACGGAACAAAGGAAATTAAGTGAAGAGAAAAAGAAGGACGGAAAAGAAGAGGTATATTCGCGCGCGTTTCTTTTTTTTTTTTTTTCGACCGCTTAATTATGTAACTCGAAAACCGATTTTCGACGAAAAGTGAATGAAAAAATTGGACAAGAGGCTTCGTTTGGAATCATTTAAAAAGGTACTCGCGCCGCGAGTATGTTCTCAATAGAGAGAATGAGAGAGACAGAGAGAGAGTGTTTTGTTGCAAAAATAGCCCGAACGGTCGATCGATTCAGGTACATGAAGCGTTTGAGGAAATCAGGCATAGCTAAGTATTTACCATAGTGAACACATTGTGCATATCAATGGGAATTAAAAAGTTCTATACATGTGCCGTAAAAAGGAAACTCATTTCGTTGCATATTAGTGATGAGAGAAATAATTGCCGACCAAACGTATATTAGTATACAAGTTTATCCGCTCAGCAACAAAACGGATTCGTGTTAAATATAACGTAAGTCAACGCAAACGTACAATATATCGGCAGAAGGTGTACACTCAAGTTTTATATTTATACGAGATCATATATATATATATACGTATATGTATATATAAATAGATATAGTATACTACGTATATAGCCTACACATTCCTGGGACACGCGACACTTATTCGGGACGAGTAATATCCGCAGGATCTCATTCTTGAAAATGGTATCGCGAATAGTATCGATGAATTGATCAATGAGTCAGAGGTTATTGCACGCGCAATGCTATGACTTGTATTGCTGAGACTTTGATTTCCGAAGTATCGAGTGTATCTGAGAGCAAAAGAAGCTAGCAAGCCGCAAAGAAAAATTGCAAGCCTCGCCCACGAAAAAGTGGGTGTGTTCCAGGAAAACGATGCTGTCCATACTGCTAAAGAGAGACGATATGTAGATATCAGCGATTTTAATGTGGATACTCACGTCTAGAGGCTTCTTTAACACGATCCAACCAGACTCTGGTTGGATCTCAAAGTACTCCAGATTCTGCTGGTTGTTGGGTGAGCTCAGCGAGTACACGATCGCGCCATTGTTGTCAGCATCCTCGTCGGATGCCGACACTCTTAATATGTTCGTTCCAATGCTCGCATCCTGCTTTACGTTTTCCACATATCTCTGCAAAAGAAAAATAAAAGATGTTCGACATTGTATTTTTAAAAATACCATGATATACTTAGGTTTTTACAAAAATATTAAACTGGACATAATCATGTTATTTCAGATCGAAAATTATAAAAAAATTCAAGATTACAATTATATAGATAAAATATATAGATAAAAAAGCCCATCTCTCTCGAAATCTTCTTTAGTTAGTGTCAAGGTTTATTCACGTAACTTTACTTAGATATAAAAAAAGATATGATGAAATGATAATACAAATTTACCAAAAAATATACACGCTAGAGATTTAAAATAGAAATGGGCCGAGTGCATAATTTACGAGATCCACTTTGGATATGGTTTCGTGTCGCGGACTTTACAAATTGTGAACTCGTTCTCAGCTCGCTGTGCAAACTTTCTCTACGTGTGCTAAATCGATAGGCGCTCGTATATATTTTGATTGAGAAAATAATAAAACTAGAGCAGAGTTACGTCGCGAATATTCTTGAGTTACGTTCGTCGAAGCGTAACACACACTGGCACCGCTGGTGCTTTCGCCATGCTCGTTCTTATTTCCGGACATCTGTTCCTATGTTTCTAACCCACATGATTTCATAAGTGCTTGTCTTGGGGTCGGGTATACCCACCTGTCGGTCGAACAGTGGCGGGTTGTCGTTCACATCCGTTATTTCGACGGTAAATGAGCAAACACCTTCCAACGAGGGTTCGCCCTGATCCGTCGCCTTAACGGTGACGGATACAAATTTTCCATCATCGCCTTCGCGATCGAACACCTGAAAACACAACCGCTTCCATTATTAAATGCAAATACGTTAATAAAATTTTAATATCTACGAAATTGGTAGATAATTTAAAAAATAAAATTTTAAAAATTATTACAATGGAAACAAAAGGAATTGACTTTATATAAAATAATGATAAAGTTCATCGTTTACATTTAACATAATTTATAAAATATGTATATTTTTATATCGTTTCTGATTAATATAGCGAAATATGAAAAGTTAAAAAATAATAACATATAAAGAATGTAACAGATGTAGTGGACAATAAATGTATTGAGTATATCTTTTTGTCAGAGATCTTTATGGGCTCGCGACACGAACTATAATTAGAATGTTAACTGCCTTGCATGTTTATCGTTAAGTCTTCGATAAATTCGAAAGATGGAAGAATGGAAGATGGAATGATTGTTAGGTGCTTTTTTAATGCGCCTAGAATGCTAAATGCACTCCATCATGAGTGTCACTTCTGTTATCTTTTAAAACTGATATATTCCGATACAGTCAACGTATTTATGGTTTTATCAAACATTTACTCGTTATTTCAAATCAAATAGATTTGAAGATAAATTTATATACTTTATGTTAAAAAAACACGCTTTATGTTAAAAAAAAAAACATAAGAATCAAAATTAAAACAAAATCTACTGTAAAATATAATATAAAATACAAAAAATGTTAAAATATGTTTTTATCAATAAAATGATATTAAAATACAAAACCAGTATTACAATACCTTATTGGTTAAGACCTGGCCGGTTTCTTCGTCAACGGTAAACTTTGTGCCTTTCTGATTAGGCTGTTGCACGATCGAATACTTGACTTGTCCATTGACACCTTTATCCTCGTCAGTCGCCTGAACTTTAATGACCGTGCTGCCATTTGGCGCACCTTCCTCCACTTTCGGATAATACATCCCGCAATCCTTGAAGACCGGCTTATTGTCATTCACGTCGGTTATAAAGACTACGACGACCGCAGTGCTGGTATGAATGGTTTTATCGCCGTTAGGACAGCATGCCCCGTCGTCTAGAGCCGTGACATTCAGCTCGTATTTGTCTCTATCTAAAGAGATTTCTTTCCCGTGAAGACGAATTACGCCCGTGATCTCCTCAATCACGAATTGTCCCGATGTGGTGTTCCCGCCGACGAACCGGAAGCGCACGTTATCGCCGTCCTTATCGGAAGCGACTACGGTGGTGACCAAAGTATTCGGTCCGGCATTCTCGTCGACGTTAGGCGTGTAAACTTGCTGAGAGAACTTTGGTTCCTCGTCGTTTTTATTCTTCGTGTATATCCGCACTGTCGCTGTGCCGGTCTTCGAGGGTTCACCTGAAAAATAAACTCGTTAGTTACTTATTAAAACCTATCCTAATCCAACGTTCTAATTAAATTAATTGTGACAATCGTGACTTTTAATTTATTTAAAAGATATATGATGCGAAAGGCAAATGCAAGTAATACGTATTGATTTAAACATTATGCTATAGTAATACGTATTGATTTAAACATTATGCTATAGTATAACTTAAATTATTCAATTCGGGATGTGCGATACGCATATTAAGGAATATTTACTGTAACATGAAATTTCGAAATATGGAATGCATCCATGGACGCGCAATAAATAAAAGCGTACGTGTTATTCGTGCCAATTCAGTCGTTTTACTTCCAATTAAGCCGCGACTTGTTTGGAAACCCCGCATTTGCACCGTATATATGCAAATAACGTAAAATCGCGTTTACGAATGTGAGCTTTATCCTGCGCGACGCGAGAAGGGGATTTGAAGCTCTTTTGAAAACCAAATCCGTGAGATTTAGCCGTTTGAGCTGATCCTCTCGGCTTGCTGACAGAACGAAGACCGATCTCTGCTTTCGAACGTGACCAAATCGTCGGGTAATATGAGCATCGACTTTACGGTATTTGAATTTCTTAAAGTGAGGCAGCTATCGAGGAACTTTGTCGACGAACGTGAACCGACGATATATCTTGGTAATAAAACGTGATAAAACAAACGATTTCAAACAGATTTTAGACTGAATTTAATTAATCACGAATGCAAAAAGGCATTTTATATATATATATATATATATATATATATATATATATAATTAATTAC